ACTCCCCTCTTAGAACTGCATTTGTTTTATCCCATACGTTTATATCCATTTTCATTTTTCTTAAGATACTCTTTGGTTTCTGTTTTGATCCATTGGTTGTTCAGGAGTGTGTACTCCTGAAAATATATAATTTTCACATATTTGTGAATTTTCCAGTTTTCCTCCTGTTTGTAGTTTCAAACTATTGTGGTCAAAAAAGTTACTTGATATGATTTCAGTCTTAAACATGGTAAGACTTGTCTTATAGCCTAACATATGATGTATCCTGGAGAATGTTGTGTGTGTTCTTGAGAAGAATGTGTATTCTGCTGCTGTTGAATGGAATGTTCTGTGTATGTCTGTTAGTTCCATTTGGTCTAAAGTGTTATTCAAGTCCACTTTTTCCGTATTGGTTTTCTGTCTGAAAGAGCTATCCATTGTTGAAAGTGGGATATTGAAGTTCTCCACTATCCTTTTATTGCTTTCTACTTCTCCCTTCAGATCTGTCAGTATTTGCTTTATATATTTAAATGCTCTAATGTTGAATGCATATATATTTATAATTGTTATATCCTCTTTTTGAATTGACCACTTACTATATAGCGACCTTTGTCTCCTGACAGATTTTGACTAAAAGTCTATTTTTATTGATTTAAGCATAACCACCTCTGCTCTCTTTTGATTATCATTTGCACAGGATGTCTTTTTTTTTTTTTTTTTAAGATTTTATTTATTTATTTGACAGAGAGACACAGCGAGAGAAGGAACACAAGCAGGGGGATTGGGAGAGGGAGAAGCAGACTTCCCACGGAGCAGGGAGTCCGATGCGGGGCTCGATCCCAGGACCCTGAGATCATGACCTGAGCCGAAGGCAGATGCCTAATGACTGAGCCACCCAGGAGCCCCCAGAATATCTTTTTCTATCCTTTCACTTTCAGCCTATGTGTGTCCTAAAGCTAAAGTGATTTTCTTTTCTTTCTTTCTTTTTTCTTTTTTTAAGTGATTTTCTTGTAGACAGCGTACTTTGGGATCTTTTTTATTTTTCTTCTTTTTTTTTGGTCCAGTCAGCTACTTGGTGGCCTTGATTGAAGAATTTAATTATTTACAGTTAAAGTAATTATTAATAGATAAGATCTTAATATTGCCATTTCATTCATTGTTTTCTTACTGTATTGTAGTTCTTTTGTTCCTTTCTTCCTCTTTTGCTGTTTTCCTTTGTGATTTGATGATTTTTTATTTATGTTTTTCAAATTTTTATTTTTTATTTTTTTAAAGATTTTATTTGGAGCGCCTGCGTGGCTCAGTTGGTTAAGCATCTGCTTTCCGTTCGGGTCATGATCTCAGGCTCAGCGGAGAATCTTCTTCCTCTCAATCTCCCTCTGTATCCCCCCCACCCCGGCTCTCTCTCAAATAAATAAATGAGACCGAGATAGCAAGAAAGAGTAAGAGCTGGGGGGAGAGTTTTTATTTTATTTTATTTTAAGTAGGTTCCACCCACAATGTGGAGATTGAACTCATGACCCCACGATTAAGAGTCACATGTCCCACCAAAAGAGCCAGCCAGGCGCCCCTGAGGATTTTTAAAAATAGATTCCTTCTCTCTATCTCATGTATCTACTATAGGTTTTTTCTTTGTGGTTACTATGAGGCTTATATAAAACATCTTGTAACAGTCTATTTTAAGCTAATAACAACTTCAGTTGCATAAAAATGCCCTGCTTTTACCCTTGCCCTCCCCTATTTTATATTAATGATGCATTTTACATCTTTTTATATTGCATATCAAGAAATTATTATAGCTAGTTATTTTTAATATATTTTGTTTTTTAACTTTTATATTGAAATGTGACTTATGCACCACCTTTGCAATATTAAAGTATTCTGAAATTGACTATTTATCTTTACCAGTGAGTTTTATACTTTCCTAAGATTTCATGTTGTTACTTAATGTCCTTTCATTTCAACTTGAATTCCCTTTGGCATTTCTTTTAACCCAGTTCTAGAGTGGTGATGAGCTCCCAGTTTTTGTCTTTGTGGAAATGGCTTAATCTCATCTGTGTAGCTTGCAATATCCATCTTAAGTTATCAAAATCTACTTTACCTGTGTATTAACTTAGTTCCAGTGAGATACAGAAATGTTACCCATCGGTAGCTTTATTTCCACATCCTCTGTTTCATGTTGTTATTTTACATATTATATCTATATATGTCATGAACCCAAACTTTATATATTTTTGTGTCAACTAAAGATGCTGAATAAATAAGAGGCAAAGTTTATACTATAGAGTTTGTTATATTAACCTTCTTATTTACCACTTCTATTTCTCTTTGTTTCTTGTGGATTCAAGTTACTATTTAGTGTCATTTCTTCATTCTAATACAACTTTACTCCACTCATCTTTGTGCTGTTATTATTTAATATAGTATATTTCTATATGTTCTAGGCCTAACAATACAGTTATATTGTATACAATTTTATAAGTATTGTATAGTATAAGCCCTAACAGTTTTCCTTCTTTAATAATGCAAGTGCCTGACTTAAACCAAGGCATCCATTTCAAAGAGGCATCCACTTCAAAGATGGCTATTTCAAACACTTGCCAGCCACATGACTAGATAAAGAGCCAGGCCTCCCCTCTTCCAGGGCTTTTTTGTTTTAGAGATCTTGGTTGATTTCAACAACTGACCATTTGGGCTGCTTGTTTTTTTTTTCTCTTCCTTCACATTAAATTCCTGCTCTTATGTTCTAACTTCATCAGTAAATAGTAAGCCCACAAAACCCTAGGCCCCCCACAACCCCAATAAAAGTAGAACCCTGGGCGCCTGGGTGGCTCAGTTGGTTAAGCGGCTGCCTTTGGCTCAGGTCATGATCCTGGAGTCCCGGGATCGAGTCCTGCATCGGACCCTCTGCTCGGCGGGGAGTCTGCTTCTCCCTTTGACCCTCCCCCCCTCATGCTCTCTATCTCTCATTCTCTCTCTCAAATAAATAAATAAAATCTTAAAAAAAAAAAAAGTAGAACCCTTCACTCTCTGTTTCTCTTCCTGCAACCCCTCTGTGTGGCTCTAAGGGTGTCATGTAATTTTCAGGTCTTGCAAGTAATAAATGTTTTCTTCCAAAGTTTCCTGATATTTATTGTTGAGAGCATATTGCAGTCATAATAAGAACCACAAGGGCCAGTCCAGCCACAACATTGGTTATCAATAGATTGGGACTATCACAAAACATTGTTTTATATAT